CCCGAGCCCCGGCCTGGCTCCGTGAGTGCCCAGGGGTGCGGAGCAGGGGGGGGCGTGGGGCGGCCGCATCCCCCCCCTGACTCCCGTCTCCCCTGGGCAGTGCATCACGGACCACTCCCGCAGGAAGGGCTACAACTCCTCGCAGGACCTGCCCAACAGCGTCCTGGACTTCGTCAAGCTGCACCCGCTCATGTTCGAGGAGGTGAAGCCGGCCAGCGGGGAGCCGCTGCTGGTGAAGAAGAGCGTGGTGTACAGCCAGCTGGCCGTGGACAGGGTGCGGGCCCTCAACGGCCGCTCCTACGATGTGCTCTTCATGGGGACGGGTGAGCACGGGATGAGTTTGCCAGGTCTCTGCTGGGCAGGGGGCACAGCCCACATTCCCTCCTGACACCCTGCTCTGCTCTCCAGGGGACGGCTGGATCCACAAGGCCGTGGTGGTGGGCTCTGGCATCCACATCGTGGAGGAGGTGCAGGTGTTCAGGGACCCCCAGCCCGTGGAGAGCCTGGTGATCTCCCATGCCCAGGTGAGAGGTGGAAGAAGTCGGGGGACATCACACACGGGGCATGTTTGTGCTGCAAAGCTGCCATTGGACTGTTTGGGGGACTGGGAGGACATGACTACTGGGTCACCCCAGCTCAGGATACGCACCAGAGCCCAGTGGGATAGCCTGGGGAAAGGGACCAGCCTGGACCCCACCTCCTTGCCAGGTGCCAGCTGTGGCCATCGGCACTGACTGGAGCTGGGGGCCCTTCCCCGTGCATCCCACTAAGGGAGAGCTGTGCTGTGGGGCTGGGGGGGGACCTCTGGGCTCCACGGGGGGGTCCCCCGTCCCGTGGTGGGTCCCCAGTCTCCACCTCTCGCTCCGCGTCCCCCAGATGCTGAGTTCGTGGCCTCCGTGCTGGTCCGGGAGAGCAAGGACAGCCCTGTGGGCGACGATGACAAAATCTACTACTTCTTCATGGAGCGGGCGGGTGAGGAGACCACGTCCTTCTTCGACAAGAGCCAGGTGGCCCGAGTAGCCCGGGTGGCCCGTGTCTGCAAGGTAGGCATGTCCCCACCCACAGGGAGCCAAGCGCTGCTCCTCCCAGTGCAGGGGCTGCGTGCCTGCACCTTGGGGGAAACTGAGGCACGGGCAGAGGGGGACATACGCCCCCACCAGCTTGTGCAGAAATGCTCCCTGCACCCTCCCAGAGCGACGTGGGGGGGAAGAAGATTCTGCAGCGCAAGTGGACATCCTTCATGAAGGCGCGTGTGGTCTGCTACATCCCCTACTACGAGGTGCTGCGCAGCATCTGCAGCCTGGACGGGGGCAGCTGGGCCAGCGCCGTCTTCTACGCCGCCTTCACCCAATCGGCGCAGTGGTGAGAAGGGCAGCGGCCGAAATGTCTGGGGCTAAAAGTCTGCGGCACAGGGGGGACCGGAGATGCTCAAGGGGATGCACAGGCGGGCGCTGAGCACCTGGGGGTACGTCGGTGGGGAGCACCCCTGTGTCTGCCGGGCGTCCGAGGACCATGGAGGCCTCAGCCGTGTGCCGCTACAGCATCTCGGCGGTGCAGCACGCCTTCGAGGGCCCCTACATGGAGTACCAGGACTCGGCTCGCAAGTGGTCTCGCTACGACGGT